AGGTGCCCGCTCCCCCCCGGGCCTCGGCGCTGCGCTGCGCTGCGGCGCGCACAGGCTCCGCCGGCTGCTATTCCGGCTGGCGGCCGCCGCAGGAAGGGCCGGCTCCCGAGCTCCCTCCGCCCCTTTCCCTCGCCTTCTGCTGACGCTGACGTCGGACGAGGGACCTGGAGGGACGTTCTGAGCGCGGCCGGGAGGCTCCCGGGGGCCCGAGCTCCGAGGTACCTGCCCTCCGGGGCCGGGGCGGGGGCGCGCTGGGCGGGCTGCATGCGGCCGCGGGAGGCGCCCAGCAGCAGGGGCGATGGGGCTACCAGCCAGGGCTTCCTCCCTGCCCTCCGCGGGCGGTAGGTGATCCGAGGGCGGGCTCCTCCTGAGCCGGAGAGGGAACCGCTGCAGCCCCTTTCCCTCCCCCGCCTCCTCCCTCGGGCCCCTGAAGGTCCGGAGGATGCGCGCGCCGTGAGAGCGTGCGTCAGCCCGGGGGAGCAGAGGGAAAGGCTTCGGGTGCTGATTCTGTCTTTGGTCCCCAGCTCAAGGAGCACCCCCACCCACGCCACTGCATCCCACCCTATCCCACCCACTCTGCCTCTCCTTCTCGGCCGCTCTGGGCCCGGGATGTTTGGGTCTCTTCTGGGCAGGGACTTGCATCCTGGGCTGACTTGTTGACAAGTTCACCTGCCTGGGCGCCTGACATTTGCTTTTCCTTTTCGCGCTAATGCCAGTCTTTGGCGAGGACGTCTGGGAGCAGATGGATGGGGTACCTCTGTATAATCGCTGGTGCCAAGAGGCCTGAGCTTGGTTCTCAAGAGGCCAGGTGCCTCGGTCGGAACCGAGGCCGGAGTTCCTAAGCAGGCCAGATCCCTGCAAACCTTGGTGCTGGCTTTCTTTGGGGTGCGTTGACTCCGCCTTTCCTGCCCAGGGCTATTGCAGCTCCTGTTTCCTCCAGAAGTGAACACATCCTGTTATTGTGTCTGCCTTTGCCCTAAGCGCCCCACTTTTAACCTTCCCTGCTCGCTTTTTACATGGAATGACCGCAACCCCCTCGCTCCTCTTTGAAGTCTTAAAAGTACAAGCTCCCCTAAGATACCAGATGACATTTTGAGAAAAATTACAGCCTATCTATCCAGATTGTCTTCTAGATAAAATTAAACAAATGAGAAGGGATGAGAATTTGTCCACAAACTTGGGTGGCACCCTTGTAATGTGAGGTCCGGTGACTATAAGAATATATGTAGGCTAGGAATATATTACCAGTTGGTTTGGCATAATATTGAATGTAGGAAGGCCCACAAGGCCGTGGTCATTAAAAGCCCTCTAAATTATGATTCATTGGAAACGTAATTGTGTCCAAACATTGCAGTAAATTCTCTCCAAAAGAATCTAAAATTGATGTAGAGGAGTGAAATAGGAAATGCTCATTAATTTAGTCTATGCCCCAGATGCTTTCTTTTAAAAACACACACAAACCAAAGATTTTCTTTGTACGGTTTCAGTCAGCCTTAAAGGCAGAGAATCCCATAGAGGCAAAATCAACTCATATTCCTTACTCTTAGTTACCACGCAGCTGACTTCACTTCATGACAGCCCCATGTGCACAGAGCAGAACAGTTGCACAGGATTTCCTGAGCTGTTGCCTTCCAGGCCTGCCTTTGGAATTGCCTCTGAATGGGTTCAGACTGCCAGACTCCTGGGAGGGAGTCAACCATTTGCATCACCTAGGCAATTCTGATCCATGATCATCCTTCATTGAGTTTCCAGTGAAACTCAATGTAGGTCATTAGAGGAGGAGACCACCCATAGTTCATCAGTGAGGCCACTGGTGGACTGAACAACTCGAATTGTGCAACTTTTGTGTTAGTTGCACAATGGACTAAGCCACCAGAGCTCCCTGGAAAACTTGTTCTATGGCCAAGACTCATAGCAACCTTATCTTTCCATGAATAGTGTAAACATTACTGTTTGTTATATACATCTGTTTAGAGAGCTCTAAGGGCCCTTTGCACTGCTAACCCAAAGCACATAGGTCAAATCCACCAGCTTCTCTGAGGGAGAAAGATGGACTGCTTATATAATGTTTAAAAATTATTTTTGTCATTAATATATGGCCTAGTGGCAAGGAGCTGTGCTGCAATCCTGAAGGCATACGATTCAATGCCACCAGCTGCTCTGTGGGAGAAGGATGGGCAGTCTCCTCCTGTGCAATTAACTGCCTCTGAAAACCCGCTGGAGGGTCAGCTATGGGTCAGTTCCAACTCGAAGGTACACAACAACACACACACATATATAATAAATAACATATCTATTATATATATCTATATATCTCTATCTATCTATCTATCTATGTATATTTAGTTATAGTTATTTATTTACTGCCAAGTCTGAACTGACTCATAGCTGACCTCTTGCAGGTTTTTCAGAGGTGATTAATCACATGGGAGGACAATGATCATCTTTCTCCCACGGAGTATCTGGTGGATTCAAGCTGTGTGCCTTTGGGTTGGCAACTCAGCTCCTAACCAGAACTCCATGTGCACACATGTCGTTGTTAGGTCCCATTGAATGGGAACCAACTCATAGCTAACCCTACAGTAGGTTCACAGAGGAGAGTAAATCACATGAGAGAAAACTGCCCTGTTTTCCATAGAGCAATTGGTGAATCCAAACTGCATACTTTAAGGTTGACACTGCAACTCCTTACCGCTAAGTCACCAGAGTTTCCTGGTGGCTTATACATATATGCACAGATAATGGTTACACACACAATGTGCTTCTCTTTCATTGCTATTGAGTGGAGCTGACTCAGACCTGACCCTTTAGCAGGTTTCTGAGGCTGTAAATCAAGAAAGGAAATAGTCCCTCTTTCTTCCAGAAAAAGCTAGAGTATTTGAACCATCAAAGAAGTGTCACCCTTGGGTTAGCAGCACCATTCTCTAAAGACCATGCCACTAGAGGTTCCTGATATAAGTTATATACACAGATCACTGGTTTGTCCTTGAGAGGGTGAGACCAGGCTGCTCCTTGGAGGCAAGGATTCTGAAGCTTCGTCTGACATACTTTGGACATATTGCAAGGAGGGACCAGTCCTTGGGGAGGGATATTATTCTTGGTAGGGTGGAGGGACAGCGCAGGAGAGGAAGACCCTAGATGGGATGGATTGATTCAGTGTCTGGGGTAATGGAGGTTGGTATGTCAGAGTAAGATTGGCACAGGACAGAGTAGGGTTTAGGGCTGCTCTGGGTCGAAGGTCTCTCGATGGCACATAACAACAGCAACAACAAAACAGGTATGTGTATGTTTACACACACACGCACACATACACAACCAACCATTACCTTTGAGTCCATTCCAACTCATAGCAGTCCTTTATCCAGTTGCCGAGAGCAAATCTTTACTGAGGGAGACTGGCCATCTTTCTCCCACAGAGCAGCTGATGATTTCATACCACTGATCTTTTGGTTACAATGGTCTAGATCCACTAGCTCCATAACTTTTATACATATATGACCTCTGGTAGCTTAGTGGCAAGTAATTGAAAGGCACACAGTTCAAATCCACCAGCTGCTCCCAGGGAGAAAGATGGGGAATCTCCTCCTGAGTGATTTACTGCCTCTGAAAAACCACTGGAGCATCAGCTATGGGTAAATTCTGACTCAACGGTGCATAACAATAAGACCAACAACAGTATAATTTGTGGGACATCTTTTTGACTGTGTCTTTTTATATTACATTGTTGTTGTTACGTCCCATCAAGTTGAAGATGAAAGACCTGAACACTTGTATAACTTTCATTGTTTCTCTAAGTTCATAGGGTTTCTGGAGGCAAGCTATTTCCGAAGTGGATGCCACTCCTACTTCCAAGCTTGTTTTAATCAGGGAGTTCCACCAAACACTGTCCACCATGGGTAACCATTATCATATTTGAAACATCAGTGTCACAGTGTTGAGCATCACAGCAACCACGAGTTACCTCTGTACAGCAAGTGGACAGATCAGTGCTATACCACTTAGAAGAATGTTTGACCAGGCCTGTACATAGGTAACTAAAAAACAATAATAACTTGCTAATGTTGAATTGCTTCTGACTCCTGGTGGTCCTGTTACAAAGTAGAACTCCATAGAACTTTCTTGACTGTAATTTTTTTTATTTTAGAGTTTTGCATACAGAATTTATGTTGTGTTTAATTCATGTGACTTTTGTTTCTCACATTGCTTCGTTTGTATTGTGCTTCTTACAGTCATTCCTAGACTTTGTGTTTTATAAAATTAATCACCATTGATCTCAGCAAGCTGACTACCAGGCCTTTCTTCTGTGATGCTGCTATAGAGGCTCAGACTTCCATCCTTTAGGTCAGCAGTTGAAATGCAGACTGTGCTACTTGAAAACCTTATAAAGATGAGGTTTTTACAAAATGTAACCATTATTCTATAATTAATGCCACTTGTAGTAATGAAGAGAACTGAGGTTAAAAACCAAACCCTAGATACTCACCCCATGAATTATTAAATGCTTAGAATCAGTCAATGACATTTTTCTGGATGGTTGCTTCCATAAGTCTTTTTGTCTTCATTAATACACTTGAGTGTCTGTCATACCTCTTTGAGGATCTCAATTGCCATGCATTTTGCTAAACATCAACCTTATGAGAAATACAGAAACTTGTTACAAAAAAGAAAACTGTCCAAATGGGAAATATTTTCAAGACACTCAACTAAATTAACTCCCCTCCCGCCTACCCAGGTGCAGGCAGTTCTAGCAGAGGGAAGTGTGGTAACTAGGACATGATATGCTAGAGCATTTTCATTACTATCAACTTTTAGAGAAGCCTCGTTCAGGAGGGTGTGAGGAAAGGTCAGGAAGAATATTCAATTTCTTATTGAGCCCAGCATCTCACAGTTTATAGGTATGTTTCTGATCAGTTTACTTGTGACTTTGTTATTGTTATATGTCCTTGAGTAGACTCTGACTGGGAGCCGTTTGACCCTAGCCTGTACCATCCTCATTAACTTGGATGTATGCTCAAGTCCATTGTTACAGCCACTGAGTTAATCCAGGCTATTCTCATGAACTTGGACATGCTCAAACCCATTATAACAATCACTGTGCAATCTGCCTTCTTGACAATCTTCTTCGCTTTCTGACCACTCCACCTTCCCCACATTATTAAGTATCCATTAAACTTTGAAAAGCACTGTTCCAACCTGCTACTTCTTAAGCTTTAATGTT